CCAGGACGGCCCGAGGGAGCAGGGCCTGACGTGCTCAGCAGCTGGGGACATGCCGCCCCCTGAAGGGTGAGGAAGGAGAGGGGCACGGTGCCCCGACCACAGCTCAGGGCCCCTGGGGCCACAACCCCGACCTCCCCGACCCGACCTCCATCGGAAGGACTTTGCCCAACGCCCAGCTGCCAGCCGCCAGCGGTCTCGCGTTCCTGGCTTAGCCGCAAACACTCCAGCCCTGGGCTTCCTCGTCCTCAGCAACCTGGAGAGAAGTGGTAACAAAGGGACTAACCACAGCCTTCGCCCGCCCTGCGGGGTTTCCCCCGGCAGGACGTGCCCAGGGCCCCCGACCGGGACCGCTAGTGGAAGGCGGGAGCAGCCCTTCCGGGACTCCTGGCAGTAGCGGAAAGACTTTAGCCTGTTGACACAATTATTAAAAAGTGGGGCTTTTCTCTCAGAGAGATTTGCAAAAAATATTTTTTTCTTGGAGTGAAACATAGTAAGGTAGCATTTCCCATCTTTGTCATTTAAAAAGAAAACTTGTCAGAAAGCACATGCACTCCCTGGAGAGAGACAGAGACAGAGAGAAAGTGGGAACGCATCCCGGGGAAGACGGTCATGCTGCAATCTTCACCATTTCTCTCCCTGCGGGACTTTAGGCACACACGTACATGCACCCAGCGTGTTTTTTAAGCTCCCAGGTCTGGGACTCAAACTGGGCAGCCAGCCATGCAGGGTCAGATCAGGTAGCCGCCAGGCAGAGGGGCAGCCGTGATAATTCCACGGCCGTTGGCTCTCCTCTGCTTACGGCTGGGCCTGACTCTTCAGCTGTCAAGGCCAGCCCACCCCACACCAGCCGGGCCCCTGCCCCACTGTGTCCTCAGAGACCCCTGCAGGCCCCTGGACGTGGAAGGTGAGGGCCGCACCGACCTGCGATCTGGACCACCAGCTCCTTCTTCTGGACCAGCAGGGGGTTCTGGATGGAGCAGGACACGTTGCGGTGGGCTCCCTCTGGGACCACCACGGACGTCTCCAGGCTGAACAGGCCCAGGGCGTCCTGGGTGATGGCTTCCGACTCCGGAGGCAGGCATCGTCCCTGCGGGTCTGTCCACTGGGCCTTGGGCTCTGGGTACCAGCCACTGGACCTGCACCTCAGCTGCAGGCCGCCTCCCGTGAAGCCCTCGAGGGACAGGTGAGGGTCTGAGCCCAGCCCTGGGAGAGGCAGGAGAGCAGGAGGATGAGACTCCCTCCCGGAAGTCGTGTGTGACGCTTCACCCCGGTGTCCTCTGGTGGTCCCACTGGGCACCGTGAGCTGTGACTGCCCATCACACGAGGGAAAGGGTTCCTGGTGCTTCGTCATGGTGTGCAACGGATACCCCCAGAAGGAAAACGAGCCCCGTCAAAGCCCAGCACATCGCCCACTCTCGACCCCACCTGCGCTCAAGCACCGGGTCCTTGCACCCCTGTGTCCCCAACCCTGTGAGCTGGCAGCTTCTCGACATGCAGAACACCAACATGATTAGCTCAGCACGCAATGAACGCCTGCCGGGGAGGCCAGCCCCCTGCACCAGCACCCCTCCCGGGGAAGCAACTCCCCTCAGCTCCTTCCACCTGCCTGTGCTGTTCACAGGGTGCCCTGCACAAATGTCACTTCTGGTGCTGTGTGTTGCGTCTGCGTGTTGCTTTCTTCTGGACAATGCATCTTAGAAACCACTCCAATCCCTCACCCCTCGCTTGTCACCTGCAGGCCCGGACCCTGTCTGCCTGGCTGTCAAGGCGGTACTCTTCAATTACAGGTAAAGCCAAAAGAGTCAGCCTTGGCCTTCCTCCTAGTGCAGGTGCCGGGCTAGGCCAGGCCAGGGCCCGGAGTGGGGTCACCACCCAAAGGCAGACACGCAGGCAGCTCCACCTGGTGGCCAAGGCCCCTGCCAGGGCTCCTGGCTTTAACTCCACGGGCAGGTCAGGGAGCAGCTCTGGCTGGTGGGCGGAGTCTGAACTGTTGCCAGTTTGATGGGCTAAGAAATGCAGCTCGATGTCGCGTTACTTTGACTTTCTCTCACTAACAACGATCGTCTCCACACGTGCGAGGGTCACTCATGTATTCTCTGTGCATGTCTGTTTCTCTGGCTCATTTGCTAAAGGAACTGTCCCTCGCCCTTTCTGGGCAGTTCCCTGTCTGCTCTTCTCTCTGCAGTTTTCTGTCTACTTTTTTCTTTCTTTCTTTCTTTCTTTCTTTCTTTCTTTCTTTCTTTCTTTCTTTCTTTCTTTTTTTTTGAGAGAGAGTTTTGCTATAGGGTGCATGCACTCATCAGAGAGACAGAGAGACATAAAGCAAGAAGTCGCTGGGGTCACATCCCCAGGTGGATGGCCATGCTGTAATCTTTTCTCCATTCTCCTCTTGAGATTTTTGGATGCATGCACACACACATGCATGCGCGCGTGCCCACACACACATACACACACACACACACACACGACATGAATTTTAAGCCACCAGGTCCGAGACTTGAACCACGGTTGACTACACTGTGTCCAGTAACGTAACCATTATGCCATCTGCTGGTCCCTCTAGCTACATATGCGTTTATTTTTTGAGAAATTTTTGCTGTAGGGCATTGTGCTCAACAGAGAGAGAGAGACAGACAGAAAGTGAGAAATCATCCTCCAGGGGGGATGGACATGCCACAATCCCTTCTCCTACAT